CACTTTCATCGCGATTTTTAAATCAAGATTTAAAGCAAAATAATTACTTCCTTGTTTGACACTAAACTATCAAACTGACAGCTGGCTCCCATACAAAGTGACACCGAGGGGCGCTAATAACATAGAGGTAACTCTAAGACTAGAAGGTCCCGAAGAAACGTGCTCAACTTTTTGGCTCAGCTCTGGATCTATCTTTGGTCCCAAGCTAATCGATGCACCCCTCGAAACAAAGATAAATTCACGAACCCCTCATTTTATCTGTCATACTGTCATAGCGAATCAAAAAAAAAAAAACAGTGTAGTACTAGAATTTCACTAAAATGGGATACGTTAATCGATTTGCTTGGGACCAATAGGCCTAGAGAGCCAATTTTAAATCGTAAGCTTCCACCGAGGCTTCCACCGGTTGCTAATAAGGTAATTTTTGCAAATGTAATCGTACCAGGGTTACTAGCTATAAAAAACGTTTTTTTGGAATTATGAAATCATGAGATGGTATAGCGATAATTAGTACTTGTAAGTTACAAGAAGAGGACGTGAAGTATGTGTTTGACGCATACAATCTGTCAATATTGCTTTCAGTGCGTCACAATCAGCAATTTTACGACTCGTGAGTGCAAACTCTGAGTGAACGCTCACGAATCATAAGATCGCTTATTGTCACGCTCTGTGAGTGAAATTGACCGATTTTGTGAGTCAAACACATACTCTATACCCTCTTCTCGTTACTTACAAGTTCAACATATAATTATATCATCTAAGGATTGTATAATTCCGACGAAAAATATGTTTTTATAGCAAGTGAGTGGAAGCAGTGGGCCTCCCTTAGCTCGGCCGGTAAAGGCGCAGCTACAAAACAAGACCATGCTGGAGGTGGCTGGGTTCAATTACCGGTCCGGTCTAGGAATTTTTCGAGATGGAAAATTTCTCGACTTCCCTGGGCATAGAAGTATGATTGGACTTGCCACACAATTATACCAATGTAAAAATGGTACAGGCATCGAAAGCTCTCAATTAATAACTGTGGAAGTGCATCTAGAACACTAAGTTGAGAGCACGCAATAAGCTAATATACGATATGCAATAAGCTTGAAATGCGAAGAAGAAGAAGAAGAAGAAGAAGAAGAAGAAGAAGAAAGAGTGGAAGCAACCCTGAATCGTACTTATTTAAAATAGTTCCATTGTACCAAAATTGATGAAATTTTGGGTTTGGGTTCCATGTTTAATGCAGATTACGAATATGCATTTACCTCAATACTCTTAAAGAACACAATTGGGTAGTTTAATTTTCAAAAACACCACCATCCGAAAAAATTTCATTTTCTGAGCACAACAATATTTTTATTGTAGACACTAAAGCTATTAGTTGACAGCTCGTTCCCATGCAAAGTTCCAGCAAGGGGCGCTTATATGGTGATTTTTTCTAATGTAATCGCACTTATTTAAAATAGTTCCAGCGCTCCAAAATTGATGAAAGTTTGGATTTTGGTTACATTTTCACTGCAGATTCCGAATATGTATTTACCTCAATACCCCTAATCAACCCAATTGGCACATACAGAAGGAAACGTTTTTTTTGAAATGGCTGTCGTGAGTTCATTGCGTTGTTTTTTTCTGTGTTATTTTATTTTTTAAACCTTATAGTCAGTCTTATAAGTGGTCACCGTAGTCGACATATTTTCTGTGATAATCGACTGTCTTTGCTTCCGACACTTGCACAACAAGCTATCAAATTACAGTACCAAACTAAAATGTCATATGACAGGCTCTGTCATATGAAACTGTTGCCGAAGACCGTCACGAATGTATGTATTTTAGTTTTTTTCTCATAATAAGAGCTGCTTGTTGTGCTTGTGTGAATTTTGAAAATAGCAAACAAGGATGTCCTAGTAATGAAATTTCTGATCAGAAATGGTTTATTTTACACAAAATTGATTAATTAGATCGAAATCCCACATGTCATATGATAGTTATTTGATAATTTTCTTTTTGCTCGTATGTTATTCTACCGTTTGTGTTGTGTGAGAGAGACGACGGTAGAGCATGAGTGTACGAATAAAAACAGACGGTCGCGTACGGCAACGAAGCGAGTGTTGTAAAAAACGTCAACAGTTTCAACCACAAACGAAGTGACAGACGGAGCGGCTCGAAAACTTTGGTGACTAACCTGCTATTGCAATTTTTCAGTGTACCACATGGCAACACCACTACTACTGGATTGTACCACATGACAATACTACTACCATAGAGGTAACTCTAAGACCACTGGGTCCCGAAGAAAATCATTGTTATTTTTGGCTCACTCAGTACCAGAACAACGGTCCCAAGCAGTCCCAAGCTATTTCACTCACCCCTGCATGTTCTGCATGAATCCACACACCCCTGATGTTATCTGTCAAACTTTCATAGCGAATCAAAACAAACATAGTGTAGTAATAGAATTTCAACTACAATAGGGTACGTTAATCGTTTGCTTGGGACCAATAGGCTACTAAAGTGGTGAGCCAATTTAAAATCGTTAGTTTCGTATTGATTGTTGATTGAACTAGCATTTTCACCAAATGTATTAGAATGTTTTGGTTCTATCTCTTTCACTCTACTCAAAACTGAAATGCATAAAAAAATGACAAAATGATACACTCTTTGCACGTCAAAGAATCATTGTACACAAAATCAACTTTGTGCAAAATCAAAACAAAAATAGTATCCCATCTGGTGGATGATGGCACAAGCTTCTAAGAAAATTCTATTACAGCGAACCACATTATTTTAATTGATTTCTTCGCCATTTAGTCGTCTGTCACTTCGTTTGTGGTTTCAACCCCTGCTTATAGTACGTTCAAACTTCAGAGTTATAACAACCGGTCAGCACTCGTGTTTATTTCAGTTACCGTGAGGATGAAATTTAGATTAGCCCATTATTTATGAACGGCCCTTATAATTGAAATGACGTTCCACATTCATTTAGTGATGGCCTATATTTATTTGAATAATCGATTAATCGATTAATGAATTGAAAGGTAAAATATTTGTAATTGGTTATATCATAGAGGTAACTCGTTATTGTTCGTTTGCATGCATGGGAAAAACAGATTTCCTATGGTAACCCTAATAAACAAATACCATAAACGAACGATAACCCAAATAGTCGAACTTTTCCACACATGTTTTGGATGATACCGATACCGCATAAGCAAAATAAGTAGAACATTTTTATTAGGGAAACATTCTTAACCACCCATTGCTTGTATGGTTAGGTCTTGGAAAACCTTAACCAATATGGTCAAAACTTTCCCGTAAAAAAAAGAACGATAGATGTACAATTAAATGTATTGTATCCATACAATAGAATTTATTGCACTTAAAATAAAATGTACTGTACACAACGGTTAAATAACCATCGATTTTTTTTTTCATAATAGAATATATGGTAAATGGGGAAATCTACAATACGCCTTTTTAATGCACCACCAACGTAGAGCGCGCCACGCGAGTTCGAGAAGAAACGTTTGTTTACATCAGAATAAGTATTTTCCCCAACGCATATAACAGCATTTTTCATTCAAAATCTTGCCAATTTCCATCGGTAATTCAGTGCCAACATTTCAAAGGGGCGTAATTGTATTTGTAAACAATGGCTTTAGCCGTCGATTTCTCACGAATAAAAGCTCACCCATGAAAAATAATGACACCAGCAGGTAGAGGAATGTTTCCTTTACCAGCTAGCATTGTTATTTTGGAGAGGTAAGATTTCATTCGCGAGAAATTTACGGGTAAAGTCATTGTTTACAAAAGCAATTACGCCCCTTTGAAATGTTGGCACTGAATTGTCTTATTGTACGATTTTCCACAAATCTGAACTGATTTGCACCTTAACTATTCACACACAAGAAATCCGGAAGATCATAACCACTAAGCACTTTTCTAATTTTCCATTTTTCTCAACAAAAATATTCCTGAAAAAAAGCAGGATATTTTCAAAAACGTTACAGAATTAAATTTTTCAACTGTAGATTAAGTTTTGCAGCATCTCAGATGAATCAATTTATCAGGAAAAGTAAAAAAGTGTTCCGCTTCCTATGTCTCAAGGCAACAATTTATGCTCACAACACTATTTTTGACGTTCTCCTATTCACCACCAGAGGGTGAATCGATCGTTTAGTTTCTATTAAAAAGTCTATAGGCCAAGGGGGTTGTTATAGATCTTAACCGTACAAAAATCACTTTTTCCCGAACAAACTTGAACCAGTTAGCATTCATTTTAATGTTTTTCTGTTGTTGAAAATTCATACTATATGGGTTATATTGTAGATATATTGTAATAATAATATTTTAAATTTACTTGTATGATATACATACAATAAGATCGATTGTTGGCAATAGATTTTGTTGTTATTTTATATTATTTCATGGTAATTGTATGGTGTTTTTTTTTCCGGGATAACTACCCTAATAAAACATAACCATAAACGAACGATAACCCAAATCATTGAACTATTCCACAAATGGTTTGGATGATACCCAGAACACGTCGTTAAGCAAATTAACCATACAATTTTTATTAGGGTATCGATTAAAGTTGACTAAATCATTCTCATTATGATTTTTACATGAAGATACACCATTATCAATGTGGTAACCGTATGGTTGTGATTTATGCGGGTAGTTGGGCTGAGGTGGATTTCGGTTCCATTAATAATGCAGATTATGTATATGTATCATTACCCCTAAACAACCCCATTAACGAACCTTTATTTACAACAGCATACGTCCTTTTTGAAACTCATCCTTGACTTGTGTAATTAAAGTTATTCTGCACTATCAGCCCACCCCTCGTTCGTGTTTGTGTGTGACGGTCGCGTTCGTGTCAAAAATGTGTCAAACGGTCGCCGTCGATTTGTCACTTCGGTTCCACGTGAACTGACGTTTTCAGCTTTTTCTTCATTCGTTGTTGAGTCGGCTTCGAGAGTTGGCCCGTCGTTCGTTCATTTTCCCTTTGGTTTGGTCTCGTTGAGCAGCATCGTCGTCGCGCTGCAGTTGAAGTCTGAGAATTTATAAGTGATAAATTCTTGTCTAATTTAGTGTGTTTTACGAGCGGAAAGTGTTTTCTAGAATGAAGAAGCTGTTGATCTTTACTTTGCTGGTACTTCCAGCGGTTCTCCTCACGGTGGACGGTGGTAAGTCGGGAGATATTTGGGATTGACTTTCGATGGGGTTACTTTCACTTCGACGTGGCATTTCGTAACATTTTCTGATGCTTCCTGTACAGGTTCCCGGTTGATGGCCTATGCCACTGAGGATGAATTGGATGAGGAACTAGATGTTGAGGTGGAATCGGATGACGCGTCCGTGATACATACCGATGAACCAGAAGCAGAAGATGAGCCGGAAACAACAAAATCCCCCGACGCCGATACGTTCCTCCTGTTTACTCGTCCTCTGCACTCATCTGGATCGCAACTTGAACTGCCTGCTGGATACCCAGTGGAATTCCTGGTCGGATTTACCAACAAGGGAAGCGATGATTTCATCGTTGAAACCGTCGAAGCTTCCTTCCGTTATCCAATGGACTTCAACTACTTTATCCAGAACTTCTCGGCCATCGCCTACAACCGTGAAATCAAGCCAGGTCACGAAGCTACCGTTTCGTACTCGTTCCTGCCATCAGAATCGTTCGCTGGACGTCCATTTGGATTGAACATCGCTCTGAACTACCGCGATGCCAGTGGAAACCAGTTCACCGAAGCCGTTTACAACGAAACCGTGTCCATCACCGAGGTCGATGAGGGACTGGACGGAGAAACGTTCTTCTTGTATGTATTCTTGGCGGCCGTTGTCGTTCTGCTGCTGGTATTGGGTCAGCAGTTCCTGGGATCGTACGGCAAGCGCAAGCGTTCGCCAGCTGTCCGAAAGACTGTCGAGACCGGAACCACCAGCACCAAGGACGTAGACTATGAGTGGATCCCAGCTGAGACGCTCAAGAAAATCCGTAAGTATAAATAGAATACCGTTTAAGCGATGATTTTGTGTAACTGAGTTCTTTTCTATCGTTTACAGAAAACTCTCCCAAGGGTGGTAAGGTATCGCCCAAGCAAAGCCCACGGCAGCGAAAGGCGAAGCGAGCCGCCGGTTCGGACGAGTAGATCGCATTTAAGTAGCTTAGTAACAACGACAACATCAACAACAACACAACAGAAGCTTGCGCGGCCGCCCCAGGGAGATATGCCCAGCTCCTGTATCAATGTTGGGAGATTATAGCTTGGCATGTCAACGATGCCAAGCGAAACCTCAAATAGCGCGCAAAAAGCGAAAATCCTTTCAGTTCGATGAAACAAATCGTAGGAGTACTTTTAAGTTTTGCAATCATTGATTCTGTTTTCAAGCATCGCATCCATTCGAGAGATATAACAAGTTTACTATTTAAGTATGTTTTTCGTTTTTTGTTCGCGAGTTAAACCATTTAAAGCAAAACTTCCCCCTTTAGTGTGAAAGTGAGACTGGATACTGAGATACATTTTAAAGTAAACTATGAAACTAGATCGAACGGCACACTAACACTTGATGTGTGGCGCCGATGATGACGAGATAGTGGAAAACGTGGAGAGAGTGAGGCTTCATTTGTGGAAGCTCGAACAATCTCGATAGGAATTCTTAGACGAATAGGTTTTGTCGTCGAGTGCGTTTTTTTTTGCTTAAATTATTTTACAAAATGAAAAAAAAAAAGAAGTCATATGACAAATGTAAGTAAACAACCCGAAAGGATTCATTGCCGATGACATTACCCTGTATCTAGGAATCGACCAAAGTAAGGGATTGAAGGTAAACGAATCGTAAAACTGACCTAAAATGCTGTATAATATGAATCTATAAATTGATTTTTACTTTGCAGGTCATCCCGTGCAAGGTAAGTGAGGTAGGGTTGATTGATTGATTTCTTTATTATAGAGACTTTCAGCCGTTGGCTGGTTCGTCTCTGGCTAGTGAGGTAGGGGAAATGTCAGACAAACAGACATAACACATTGAATATTTCTCACTGTAAAACATCGTCGCTAAAACATTACTGTCATCTGTTGAGTACACTATGGTGGGTAGTATGCAGAACAGATGGCGGTAGTGTGTAAACGCAAGGGAATTGACTATGCGCGGTACTAAAATACATTTGAATTGACCGTTAAATGCATGTTCGATGAACAACTTCCCGAGTGTTGTCTGTTTTTCTTTGATACTATTATTCCTTTTCGATTCTTGTTTGGACCCTTCGGGTTATCCTCCTTCGACAACGATTTGGAAAATTTATTCCTCTTCGATTCTCTGGATTATTCTAGTAATCCTGATGCTTGGAAACCGATTTGGAGATACCTACTAAATGCAAAAGAAAGGGACAAATATCTTCCCTTTCTCCAGGGTGACCAGTGAACTGGAAAATCGGGAAAAGCCGGGAATTCGAAATTATCGGGAGTAGCCGGCGCCGGTGGTGTAGTGGTAAGCGTGACTGCTTTCTCACCCCAGTGGGTCTAGGTTCAATCCCAGCTGAGGTCGGTAGGATTTTTCTGAGGTGTAGGTGGATCCCTTCGGAAGGGATCCTATGCAGGTGTGGATGTTGCTTCCTGCACATTCGATTGCCGTCAATTGATGGCAATCGATGTCCGTCGGTGATTGACACTAGATTGCGGAACAGAGACCGACGTTAAATAATGGAAAGAAGAAGAAGTAGCACACGTAGTTTGTAAATCGGAGAGAGAGAAAGATTAGTAATTTCCATTTAATTTCACTACCTTATTTGCTTATCCTTGACAGATACGCGTATTTCGTCTACAATGTGCAGACTTCTTCAGTGTCTTGTACTAATACACGACTGAAGAAAAACATCGCATTTTACCGAATATATATTAACACAGGTACATTTTCACTTAAAAGCTATGTAAACTTAAATTTAATTTCCTGTAGGAACAGGTTCTCCGCTGCTTGCTCGTTGATGTGTCCTAGGTAGTAGCTTGAAAAGCCATGTGTGTCAGTTTCCTTGAACCTTGACTCGCAGAATAGGGGGGAGCATCAGACGGCTATATAGCAAACTGGACATGAAGATTTTGGAATGTTTTTCTCTACACCTGAAATTGGCCAAAGAGTATCCAATTAAATTCCAGAAGTTTCTGTCTAGGGCCAAGGTAGCAGAGGAGTGCGAATCGGATAGGAAACGAAAGTCGAGTCTCGACAGAGACGGACGACACACCGAACGGGTGAGCAGATCCCATCCACCACGACGCCGAGGGTTCACTCCATTAATGGGTTGGTTGTAAACCGATCGACGACCCCATTCACAGAAAAACAATTGACACACCTCAACAAGGGGCTGGGATACGCGGTTACAACCAAGCCAGACGTGGAGCAGATCATCATTGACGTAGAGACAGCGATTACCAAGACACTTCCAACATCATCACAGAATACGGTCAGGACTATCACTCGACTGCAGATGGCATGCAGCATGGAGAAACAAGGTTCGGACTTACCTTAAGCTGACCCGCCTTTGTATGGAAGAGAACTGCTTCTCTTTCCGAGGTAACTTCTACAAGCAGACGAAAGGAGCCCCAATGGGAAACCCCCTATCGCCCTTCCTGTGTGAACTTTTCATGGCCAACTTTGAGACAACCCTAATAAAAATTGTATGGTTAATTTGCTTAACGACGTGTTCTGGGTATCTTCCAAACCATTTGTGGAATAGTTCAATGATTTGGTTTATCGTTCGTTTATGGTTATTTTTATTAGGGAATTCTTAAGGAAAAAGGACTATGACCGTTGGTGGAAGTTTGTTGACGATATCTTCAGCGTAGTTAAAAGGGAAGCCCTTCTACAAATTTTAGATGAGATCAACAGAATTCACAAGGATATCAAATACTCACGAGGTAGAAAAAGACGGGAAACCGAGGGGTTCGACACATCTAAATCTCGATTTTAAATGGTCGAAAAATCTCACACTAGCGAATCAATTTACAAAAAATCTTTTTTCATCTCTTGCATCTAAACCAATCTACTCGCATCGCTCTCCACCTTTCTGCAGGAAATCTTCAAAATCATAATCAATCATGTTTCTATCTATTATGCGCAAGTGCATCTCACAACAGCAAACAACAAATTTCCTGCATCTTAGATAGAGTCGCCCCCCTCGCGGGAAACTCACATTTCTCGATATTCTAGTCATCAGGGAATCGTCATCATCACCTTCGCTTGAATCAGTGTTCACTCGGCTGTCGACAGAAGCAGACCAGCATAGAGGTAACTCTAAGATCAGGAGGTCCCGAAGAAACGTGCTCAACTTTTTGGCTCAGCTCTGGCCGGCGCCGGTGGTGTAGTGGTATGCGTGACTGCTTTCTAACACCCCGATGGGTCTGGGTTCAATCCCAGCCGAGGTCGGTGGGATTTTTCTGAGGCATAAAAATCTCTGGTCACGCCTTCCTTCGGAAGGGAAGTAAAGCCGTTGATCCCGGCCCATGTGTATGTGTGCTGAATGGGTGCGATAGGGTGCGATATCCTACGCAGGTGTGGAAGATGCCTTCCTGCACATTCGATTGCCGTCAATGGATGGCAATCGATGTCCTTCGGTGATTGGCACTAGATTGCGGAACAGAGACCGACGTTAAATAAAGGAAAGAAGAAGAAGGCTCAGCTCTGGTACTGTCTTCGGTCCCAAGCTAATCGATGCACCCCTCGAAACAAAGAAAAATCCACGAACCCCTGATTTTATCTGTCAAACTTTCATAACGAATCTAAACAAACATAGTGTAGTACTCGAATTTCGACTAGAATGGGGTACGTTAATCGATTTGCTTGGGACCAATAAGCTAGTCAAGTAATGAGAAAATTTAAAGTTGTTAGTTTCAACCGGTTGACTAAGACGTCCACATTCATCAGGATTGTAAATCGGGTTTCTTTTATTCTCTTCCACGGTGAAGCGAGTCTCGAAGTTTCCTCCGATCGTTTGTCCACTGTGTAGTCTGGCGTCGAATTCTGCAAAAGGTCATGGGCCCAGGGAAGAGCTGTGCGAAAAACGAAAATCAGAAGCGTACGAGTCATTTCCGGGTTCCGCCATTTGGATGGTGAACCGACGGCGTCGGTGCAGCAGATAGTGCTTCGGCGTTGGTGGCGGCGGCATTTGCGGCGTAAGAAAAGCAGCAGAAGAGCTTTGCTTGCGATATTTAGTGTGTATGTGAGACGATCGAGGTGTCGTCGAAGATCGATGGCGTACCGCGTGTGGTTATGTGGAAACGAAACAGTGATAGTAATTCGGGATATAAATGACTGAGAAATTTTTATTTCCACAGCTAAACAACCAAACATGAAAAAACGAATGGAAATGTTCCTCAAACGTGAAAATTTATGGTATGTGGTAGAGGAAGCAAAGCCAGCCGTGCCGAGTGTGTGGCAACAATCATGTTGTAAGTATATTGATGACAACCAGCTAAATCTAGTGAAGAATGCCACGGAAGCCCAAGTAGTGCGGAACGCGCTTAAATCATACCATGAGTAGGCAACAATGACCTCGCGTGTGTCGCTCGTCAAGCGAATTTGTAGTTTGAACACCGACGAACTAACATGTCACAGGAGCATTTCGTTGGTCCACAATTCGAATTGACAATCGAGTGAGACGCAAACCAAGGCAATATAAATTATACGTGGGTTCGTGTCGTTGCTCATGGTATGACGCGATTGTATTAGTAGATTTCGGTGGTGTTTAACGTATTTTAAATAGGGCACAAATTTGAAAGTAGCTTGTATGAGCAGTCACTTCGGTTCGTCGGTACAATAGAAAATGATCCAGATGCACTTTTTTTTCCTTGATTTGTTTTCCGTCGATCTTGTTTTCCGTGCTGAGCACCAATGCTACCGATGCCAGAGAGGCAGCTCCCACACGTGGACCCTACCTATCGACTCATCAACTCATGAATCGGGGACCAACGGCTTTACTTCCCTTCCGAAGGAAGGCGTGATCAGAGATGTTATGCCTCAGAACATCTCGGCGGTGCCGAATGGAATTGAATCCAGGCCTGCTGGGGTGAGAGGTAATCACGCTTACCACTACGCCACCGGCGCCGCTAGATGCAGACTTGACGATCGATTTTGTAAAACAAAAGTTGTTGGACGAATTCCAACGAAAAGTCGAGCGGTCGATAGGGAGCATCCATAAATGACGTAGCATATTTTTGATCAATTTTAGACCCCCCCCCCTCGTAGCGTATTTGGCTATATCCAATACATGGCCGGTCACAAATTCTGAAACTCCCACCTCCCCCCTCAAATGCTACGTCATTTATGCATGTTCCCAAAGAAAAACAATGTTTGTTTTCATTGTCAAAAGCAAAGACATTTCAAGGCGCAGTGTCGTTTGCTAAAGCAACAACAACAGCAGCACAATAAGAAGAGTGATAG